AGAGAGAGAGAGAGAGAGAAAGAGAGAGAAAGAGAGAGAAAGAGAAAGAAAGATGAAGAGAGAGAGAAAGAGAGAGACGTAGACATAGAGAGATACAGAGAAAAAAACTTAGAGAAAAAGACACAGAGAGAGAGGGCGAGAGAGAGAGAGGGCGAGAGAGAGAGAGAGAGAGAGAGAGAGAGAGAGAAAGAGAGAAAGAGAGAAAGAGAGGAGGGAGGCGTCGAAAGCTCAGGTAGTTAGCTGGACACTTGACCACACTGTGAGTGAGTAGCAAGAGGGGCCAAGCGTTATCGTGGACCTGTCAGAAATAAGGTTGTTTTATAGACTTTTAAGAGGTTGCCTATCAGTTTCTATCGGAGATGGGACTTTAATTCGTGGCCCTGATCCTTTAGCGTTGCCGCAACAAGCTTAAACACAACTCATCTTTTCACGTACGGATTTTGCCCAATAATGATAATAATTAATGATAGTAATCAATTTTACGATTGCAGCACATTTTCACTAAGACGGTGCCCAATGTGGTTTACGACGATACAAAGAACTCTGGAAACATACAGTCCCGTATAATGATACACGTGTGCACGCACAAACACAAAACACACACAAAACACACAAACACACACACACACACACACACACACACACACACACACACACACACACACACGTACACATCGATTTTGACACACTGCCGTGTCATTTTATAATGTGAGAGATGTGATGTGTGAACCCAATACCTTTCAGAATTACAGCTGTCCCTCATTAAAAAAATACTCATAGTTCGCCCGTCAACATCTAACGATGACCAATGCAGCTGCAGAGAAGAATATTGCTTTAGTGAAGTACAAGAAAGAAGGACAAAACAAGGATTAAGAGGACATATAGTTTCTGCTATGCCGTGACCAGTGACACTAGACCTGGCAGAGAAAAGTTTGCCACATTTTGAGTATTTTAAATCTTCATCACCACCTGTAGGTGTTTATACTACTTCCATACCTGCAAACTTAAAAAAGATGAATAAATAAATGAATAAATAAAAAGTCTAGTAGCGTATATTCTGTTCGTCCGGTTTTTTGTAGATGGTCCGATCTGGCGAAGAACTTCGTATCATTAGGTGGTCAACTGACAGATAACAGTGAAGGGATGCACCCTGATATATTTCTTTTCAATTCCAAAACTGTTTTATCTACAACATGGCTGTATAGCACATACGACGTTCTGGTTCCCGTCTGTGGTTTTATCTCCAGTATCCGTTTCCATCAGCGTCCATGTAGACCTGGTGCCAGTAACGAGCCGGGCAAAGCCTGCCAGATTAGATCTCCCAAATCCTGGGCCAGTTTTTGGCTGGGTTTTGCTCACCCACCGTCTATCTGTGGTGGTCACAGATGAATCTTCTCATTTTTTTTCTGCGTATACATCTGTCTTTGAAGTATGTTTTTTTAAATGTGTTTTTTTTTGGTGTTTTTTTGTAAAGTGTTTTAAGGCGCTCGCAACTGAATAGGTCATATGAGCGCGCGGGACACTCCTAATATTTTCAGTTGGTAGGAAATTTTGAATTTTGTCCGGGTGGCGGCCAAAGCCTACTCTTATCGATTTTAGACCACCAAGGGATCTTTAACGTGCGCAACTTACACACGGGCCCTCCGAGATTTTTCGCCCTTGTCCGAGAAGGCTAGGTGTAGATCTTTCCTA